ATTCCTGCTGGCTGGCCTCCTCCAGTACCTGGGGTTTGGTCACCCTGGCACCAGTGCAGCCCTGCTTCTGGTCACCTGATGTGGCATTTTGTTAGAGAGCTAACTGCTCGAGGGTTTATTCGTATAAAATAGAATATAAAAGATGTAACTGGGGGAAAATCTGTACTAGGCTGTGAATTAATATTGGCAGTGGATTATTGATTTTTTTTTTTTTTTGGCAGTAGTAAAGTTGCTCTGCAGTAGCGGGCAGGAGACAGTTAAATCTTTTACAGTCTTCTTTGAGTAGCAGTTGGATGAAATCCTTTATCTCAAGCCTCATATTGCATTAGATAATGACCAGGAAGCATCAGTATTTATATTACCAAGTTGCAGGTGATTAGTTTAGAAATGCAGACATGACTGTTCCTCTGTTACCACATTTTGTATAAAACGTTTATTGCATAAATGCTTTGGGTTCTGTTGTTCAGAGTAACTGAAATCTCTTTTCAATTACTTGTACGCGTGAAAAAAAGAATCAGTAAAATGTACAAGTTTGATGTCTTATTCTTCTTCAGGCAGCTAAGGAAGGTGATACAGTTTAGGCTGAAGTTATTTGTGTTTCTGAAGTGGATTATGGTCACCAGACATCAGGAGGAGTGAATCAAAACTCTGATGCTGGTTATTGATAGCTATTTACAAATATTTTCCTTAAAAAAACAATAAAATATGTATTTGGCACAGGGAAGATTTTCCTTAACTTCTGTAGAAGTTTTATTTTTCTACATATGCTATGCCAAGCAAGAGTCTTATTCAGTTTTCCAAATTATCCAGCACATAATAGTTAAATATTTTTCTGTCAATTAATATTGACAGGAAGCCAGTTTGAACGGCATTGGAAAATGGAAGAAGTTGGCAGAACTGGCTAATTTCACTGAATTTCCTTTTGCTAAAAATATCTGTAAAAAGAAGCTCTCCTTTTGAGATACAATGAGTGCTTGTTTGACTGTAGTTTAGAATTGATGATGACTCTTGTCCTTTAACCAAAAGGGCTTGAAAAATATGAATAACCTTTTGAAACATATTTAGTGTCCTCTGTAGTATATGTAATCATGCTCATGTCTGCTGAAAGTTTACATACATGCTTAACTGGGTGTATGTGAGTAACCAATAATCTGCAACAGGAAAAAAAAAAGTTTTGCAGAGCCACTTATGTGAAGCTGAACATTTTGTTTGTATACGTGTTGGTAGGATTAAGGAATCCTGAGCTGCTCTGTTGAGTTTTAAGACAAAACTCGGTCATTAAGGTATGAAATGCCAAGATTTTAGTCCTGCTAACTGAAGGCATACAGCATCAAATATGTCTTCTTATTTATATTGCTTGCAAATGTGTTAAAAATAAATCTAGATAGGCTGTGACAGTAAGTGTTAAAAGTTATAAAATGCTAGAAATAGGATGAGTTTCATATAGTTGTTTAGGTTGTGTGCTGCCTTTGTGTTATGATACAAGAAGGTCATACTGTACTTACAGGACAGCCTAGAACAGTTGTTTCACAGATTTGGCCAATTTGGGGGGTAAGTCTGTGTTATGTAGCTTCTTGCTTGGACATCTTTCATTTCACATCCACTTCACTTGTGGAAGTTAGTGATGTGTGGTGACTGAGGGGGTTTTCACTACGGGGGTGGTGAGACACTGGCCCAGGTTGCCCAGAGAAGCTGTGGCTGCCCCATCCCTGGAGGGGTTCAAGGCCAGGCTGGATGGGGCTTGGAGCAACCTGGTCTGGTGGGAGGTGTCCCTGCCCAGGGCAGGGGGTTGGAACTGGATGATCTTTGAGGTCCTTTCCAATCCAAACTATTCTATGATTGAGTTTTCAGAAGAGAAAGGGTTGTTTCAGGAATTACAGTTCTGCTCCAGTTCTTGTACTTGCTGGGACTTCCCCCCCCAAACTGAAACAAAGATGGGGAGAAAGGTTGCAGGGATGTCAAGAGTAACAACGGGAATCACCAGGATGCAAATGTTGCCTTTTGGCAGAGGAGTTTAGTGCTTCGTGGAGTAACTGGGTGGAACCTGGCCAATACCTTCTGCTGTTGGGAATCCCAGCCCTGGTGAGCAGGCAGGGGAAAGGGGAGATACTGGTGTCTTAGGGGTGTCTTGGACTCTGGAGAGGTGAGGCCGTTCCAGTTGAGGCAGTTTGTTTGATGCAATTCCCCCTGCATTAGCTTCTGTGGTGTTCCACGTGGTGAAGGTCTCATCATAAGCTTTTTCTTGTTATAAGTGCTCGCTGTAGTCATTCTGGGCATTAGAGAATGCCTCTATTTGGAAAGAAGAGACTGAATCTTCTCAAACTATTTTCAATACATTTTACGGTCTCAGGCAGTAATTAAAATCCTCAGTAAAGAGTTAAAAATGACACAGGTGCAGTACATTTAACTGGTAGCCTTTTCTCAGCCTGAACAGGGAGTGCGTTTTGCAGGTGGGCTGTGTCTTCCATGTGTTGGAAACCCAGGGATGCTGGAGGCTTCCCCACGAGGTTGACCTCTCTCCCAGGTTGAAGCCTTTGGTCGTGACCCTTTGTATCGTTCTGAATTTTCTTTATATATTTGGGATGATGTTCGTAATGACTTCTCCATTTTTATCCCTTTGTACAGGCAAAGGATTGTTGTTCCTTACTGCAAAATGCGATGTTAAAGTGGCACATTGAAACAGGGAGCCCCTCCCGCCGCCCGTTTTCTTTTTTAGGTACAATTAAAGTAATTGCTAACAAAGACAGTGAAATGTGTGCAGATTATTTGGAGCATTTGTACTACCGAGCTGCTTTCGGCAGCACTAATCTCTTTGGTTTCTGAGGCTCTTTCAAAACCTCCTTCAGCTGCAGAGCACATAAGAAATGAAACAAATCTCTTGGCGGGTCCTAAATTTGATTAAATTGAAAGCTCATGAGAGCAGCAGCCCTTTGAGTATTTTGCACTTTAGGGGCTTGATGTGGAGCAGTAGCTGTCTGGCGCTGCTACGTGGCTGAATTTTCTGTGTATTATCAGAATTTAGAAGCTGTTCTTGATTCTTTGTGTTACTTTTCATACTGAAAACAAGTTGTTGGGACTTTCAGGATCCCACCCTTTAGTCAGCTGCGTTTCTGCCTTTGGAGTCATTACATTTCCTATCGCTGGAGTTTTACAAGCCACGTAGATTATCCAGCGCGGAGAACAAGTTTTAAAATACCATGTAGTGAGGTTTGTAATCCGGAGGGTGGGTCAGGTTAATGGGTGGTGTAAAAAGCTGGGTGGAAATCTTAAGGATGCAGTGAGGAACCGGCTGGTGCTGCTGTAGAGAACCCTGCGTTGGAGAAAATTTCCACATGAAAAGCTGTTGTTGTTTGCTGCTGCCAGCAACCGGCCATGGACCTTTACAACCTTCTGGAGTTGTCCAGAACACAGTAACTGGAGGCAGTGGGGTTTTTTAATATTATGGGGTTTGTAGCAGACACTTTGTGGTGGTGCAGCAGCAGTGAATCAGAGCGAGGGACTGGAAGCCACCTCCTGGAGGAGGTTCTCTTTTGAGCTTTGTTACTAAACAGCTTGATTTGCAGCTGAGGTAATGTGGCTTGCCCTTCTTACCGTCCTTAAATAGATTTTTTTTCTTTACTTTTTTTTTTTTAATGTGAACGAATATATTAAGCAAAGTGTGCTCCTTTGTGTTCCTCAAGCACATGTTTATACTTGAAGGCAAGCATACAGAGCATAACTGCGCAATTAAAAATAGTTACTTGAGCTTTGCTAAAAAATGTTTGCATTTCTAATACTTGCTGATGGCTTAAGTATGAGAAATATTATTTAGTTGATTTTGATTGCGAGCTTTAAGAACTTGTGCAGAAGATGGAAGGCTAGGAAAATGATACAGCTTCTGTGGAGGCTTTAAGGGTGTCTTAGCATAGCTCAGGTGGCTGAGGAAAAAAGGTACTATTCTGAGATACAAACTTTCTTCATCAGCGAATGCTGCGTAACGAAGGGAAGTTGATTCTAGGCTGAAAGGTGGACTAACGTGGAGACATGAAATTATTGTTGCCATTGATTGACCATGTATTTTCTTCCACAGAGATATATTCAAAAAATCTCTCCAGAGTATTCAGAATTGTGGAGTTCTCGGGCTTGCCATGTGTTTTGAATTGAAACATGAAGCAAAACTACTTTCTCTGATGCATGATGATTTTGTAAAAATGTAAATGGAGCTCTATAGGTTTCAGACGTCTGTTCACTTATTAGGCTGCATTGTAATCATTGAGGGGGGAATATTCAAGATACTGTCTAAAGATACGCTATATCCTACTCTCATGAGAAATTCCTTCATAATTTTGCTTGTCTTGAAGCATAATATGTTATTTCTTCTGAGCTTTTGGTCGACTTTTTGATAGGTTTATTTTAAAAATTCTCGTGTTTGCGTCTTGAAACCACATGAAGCTGGTGACAACGTTCTGTTTCGCGTTAAAAGCAGAGACGTGTGGTTCAGAGCTGGTCAGGAGGGAGATGGTGAGGCGAAGTGTTTGTCTTAGAGTCGCGTATTAGATTGCACTGTCGATCGAATTGAGACTCTTTTGTGCTGAAAGAATAAGTCTGTACAGGTCTGTTTGAAGAGGCAGGCACGTAAAGTTAGAGCAGATCTTTATTGACTGGGCATGGAGGGGAGAGGGAATATTCACGTTGATGACCTGAGTGTTGTGCTAAGAACTAGCTAAGGTGGAAGATGGTGACTGAAATGTAGCACTGAAGGCAGTATTATGTTTAAGAACTGTAGTTTTTCTTTTCTCACAGATACTAGTTAATATAGCTCTTCTACCACAGTGCGTCTTCTGAGCAATAGGTGTAGTATTTTTGGTTTAACACCGAGTTTTTCACTGACATTTGAAGTGAAGGACAAATCATTAACCTGAGTTAGTGAGCCCAGGCTTGATGTAGAAATATTCAACATTTTAACTGGAAGTTAATTTTTATACTTACACTAACTTTGGTTTCTCTTCTCTCTGTTACAGAAGTACCAATACGGAGCATTTGACCTTCTAATCTCTCGAGCTGAATCTCCTGACACCAGGATTAGGAAAGAGTGCCTTCAGAACCAATATGTAGCAAATGGGTATCACACCTCCGAAGCTTCTCCCTTGGTTCAACCCTTGCGTGTTTTAAGGATCCTTGTCGCCTCAGCAGTGAATTGTTCTTGTGAACTTCAGAAACGGATTTCATGTGGTGCTTGCTAAACACTGAGTCACCATGAGTAGTAATCTAGGAAAAGAAAAGGACTGTAAAGAGAAGGATCCAAAAGTCCCGTCATCAAAAGAAAGGGAGAAGGAGGCCAAAGCCTCTGGAGGATTTGGGAAAGACAGTAAAGAAAAGGAGCCTAAGACCAAAGGGAAAGATGCCAAAGATGGAAAGAAGGACTCCAGTACCTCGCAGCCTGGGGTAGCTTTTTCAGTGGACAATACAATAAAAAGACCTAATCCAGCCACAGGTACCCGCAAAAAATCCAGCAACGCTGAAGTGATCAAAGAGCTAAATAAATGCCGGGAAGAGAATTCCATGCGCTTGGACTTGTCCAAGAGGTCCATACACTCGCTTCCAACAGCTATCAAAGAGCTGACGCAGTTAACAGAACTTTATTTATACAGTAACAAACTGCAGTCCCTACCCCCGGAGGTGGGCTGTCTCGTGAACCTGATGACACTGGCCCTGAGTGAAAACTCTCTTACCAGTTTGCCTGACTCTCTTGATAACTTGAAGAAACTGCGCATGCTTGACCTGCGGCATAACAAACTGAGAGAGATCCCCGCCGTGGTGTACAGGCTGAGCTCCCTCGCCACGCTTTACCTACGCTTTAATCGTATAACTACTGTGGAAAAGGATATCAAAAACTTGTCCAAACTCACCATGCTTAGCATACGAGAGAACAAAATCAAGCAACTACCTGCTGAAATTGGTAAGCGATTGCGCCGATTGAAAGGTTAACCCTGTGCTTGTGTTCATTTGGCAGTTCTCTTAAGTATGCATAAACTGCAACTTCTCCAGGTGCCCTTCTTCATTTAAGATGACATAGAATTATGCTCTGGACCTTACTGTTGCAATGTTAGCTCATATTGAGAGTAATTAATACCTTGAAGATATACATGTCTTTTTTTAAAAAACAACAAATGCCCTTTTTCTTCGTTTATCACCTTAAAATTAGATATATCTTGTTTTTATCTTTGCCTTTTGCTTTCACATATTGTGTCTTCAGAGCCCAGATGGTTTAGGCAAAAAAAAAAAAAAGAAAAAAAGATACAGGGGCATATTTCATTTTAAGATTTCTTTATAAATCATTTATGAACTGTTGCAAGTTAGAAACGCATTATGGGCATGTTACAGAGGGGTGTGCCCATGGTAATACAAGGTAGAATAGGTAGCTACATGCTATTACTGTGAGCAAGCTGTTGGATGCTGTAACAGTTAATAATGCAGGTTAATGATTCATGAAAGCCTCTACCTTTTGTAAGTCATGAATCTATTAATCCATGGACTCTTAATATAAAAGTGACCAAATGATATATGCGTGGCTAATGATTCTTGTGACTTTTTAATGAATAGTATTTGTCTTTCCAAACGTTGTTACAAAACTTTGAAAGGTGGTGAAATAGCATGAAAGTGGGTTATTAATTTGAATAGTTTATTACAAAAAAATGTGCTGGAATAGCTGAACATTGGAGAACTCCTGAGTTGTTCCTAGTGGGTTCTGCTTCATGGAAAAGATCTCTTTATCACACTGTTCTCAAGCGATATTTGAACAACGTATGTGCCTCTTAAAAGGGAGATCCTATCATCAGTGTTTCCCCCCCCTATGTATCACCAGTTTTTAAAATGCAAGCATAGCTTAGTCCCTTTAGAGGGAGGGGGAGCGTGAGCTTCATGCAGTTGAGAAACTGCTTTGACTTTTTTCAAGTGTGAAAAAAACACAAACGTGTAAAAGCCCTTGTAACTTTGTGAGTAATAATTCCTGTGCCCTGTTTTTAAAAGCTGATGTGGGACTTTTTCCTGTTAACCAAAGCCAGGGCACGAGTATGTGAAGTGTCACTGAAGCTGGCCCCTGTGCTCATTGATTTTTAAAGCTTGGGAAATGCTCATTTGGATCCCTAGTGTGTCTTTTTCAAACCAGCAGTGTTTGCCTCTTCCTCCTGCACCTTGACATGAAAGATACGTAAGATAACATGTTCTTGAGGGCAGGAACTCCTGGGCACGTCTGAAACTGCTCATGGTGTTACCAGCGATGCCTTGTGCTTGATAAGAGGAGAGGAGCAATGCAGCTCCTGCTCTGAGCCTTTGCCTCCCCGTAGCAGCTATTGGGATGGATTCTGCTGTAGCCACAGAAACACGCATTTGCCTGGCAAAAATTAAATGGTTAATGTGCTATGTTCTCTGATCAACATGATTTTTGAGTTGGCACCAGCATCTCAGCAATCCTGGGAATTTCCCTTGGGAGAAGGAAAGAATTATAATGTTGACCTATTTTGACACTTCTGTTTCAATCCATCAGCCTCTTTGAATCTTTTACTAATCAAGGAATCATGCTGGAAACCATGGGGCTGCTGTTTGCAAAAAGAAAAAAACCCAACATACCACGTGTTTCCACATACGTTGAAGAAATTGTGGCTGATTTAACTGGTTGAGCTGTTCTTACACAATTGTCAGTACTGTACCTGGCTCTGTCTGTGGCTGGGTTATTAAATGCAATCTAGCAAAGAGTCAGCTTCTAAGGTTCAACTGGGGATAGTACCGCATAAATTTAAATTAATACCAGTGTGTGAAGAAAAAAAAAACTTCTGTGAGAGGTTGCATTCCGGTGTTTGATGTTGCCCTTTGGAAACTTTCTGTAGGTGTGTTTGATACTGCAGACATTACTGTTGCTGCTGGAACCTCTTTGTTTCTTAACTGTTTTGTTTGTTGAATGCTTATGGTTAAGTCTAAAGTATGCAATTTCTGTATGTGTTTGTTCATGATAGTCTTGAAAGAGATAATTTCTCCATGAAACTGTTGCACATTTAGTAGATATGTGTCATGAAGGAATATATGTGACTTGCTGCTTTCTTTTATATGTTTTTATTCTTGATATGTATAAAGGCAGTGTTCTCAGTTCTATATCTATCCCTGGCTTGAGAACATTAACTACTTTACTTCTGTCTTTGTATCCAGCAGCTAGTCCTGCCTTTATTTGTATTGTGATAATGCCCGTGTTCCTTGCTATGGGTCAGCACCCCATCGTGGAAAGCATTTTAGAAGCACAAATGCGAGATGACTGTCACCCTTCTGAAGAATTTCAAAGGGAAATCGCTCTGTTGAACAGCATCCTTTTTTATTCAAAGTAAATTTCTCTGGCTAGGTTGCCAGCAACTGAATCAGTTGAAAAATAAAGTAATTAAAGGATTTCTAAGTAACACAAATAATTTGAACTGCCAAGACATACAGAACAGGCGTTTGAAAAACCTTTTTCCTCAAACAGTAAAAACATACAAGATAGTTTCACTTTTGTAATTGATTTCTACTCACTCACTTTCATGTATCTTTGTTCTAGTACAAAGATGAAATGTTTGAGTTGGAAACACAGCTGAAAAATGAAACTGCTGAGAAATGTATTTCTTACTTTCCGATGGAATTTCTCTGTTTCCTTAAACACTTGTTATTTATCTACATTTTACATGTGCACTTTAAAAAAGCCTTGCCTTTTAAGTCCCAATGATTGCAATCCTTTGTATGTTTATAATATGGTTCCTAAATAATACATACAGGCAAAAGTTCTTACATTATCAGCTTTTAAATAACACAGAAATTTTTGTTGCTGCAAAGCAGGAAGTAAAATGAGGCCATTATCTTTTATAAAGCAATATCATGCGGAGCATTTCAAATTCTTTTTAAAAATACCCCATTGTTCTGAGGCCTAAGGCTCACATATCTGATGGTAAGATAGTGTGCTTGTTCGTATTTTTAAAAATTCAAAGCTTATTTAAGCCACAGACTTGTCCAACAAGGAGGAGTCCTGCAGCAGTTAGTGACACTGTGTGCGTGTTGCTTGCTAATCTGTTGCACGACGATGCAAAGAATCCTGGGCTTTCTTTACTTTGTCTTCTGGAGGTAGATGTGCTACAAAAGGTTGCCCTGGACCAGAAAAAAAAAAGTTAAAACCCCAGACTTCACCTTGAAAGATGAGATGTTGTTCCTGTTCCCTCAAAGAGCCAGCGTTGAGTGTGATGGAATTAGTCTTCACCTGCTGCTACAGACTTGGCCTGGCTTTTGCTACCACTGACCAGAAAATATCAGTTCTATATAATTATAGGCGGCTTTCCAACTCTAGGACCTTGCTGCTTTAAAGTAACAGCTCACCTGATTTGTAAGCAATCATCCAATTTAATTACTTTTCTAGGAATCTTTAGTCTTTGGTTTTACAAAATAGTTTATTTTCCTTCTACTGTCATTGAAAGCAATTGAGAGTAGGTCCTGGAGTCTTAAGTGCTCTGCTATTTGAGACCTTACTTTCAACACCCAATACATCTATATCTAATTGATTTTTGTGCCAGTGATATCTCACTGTTCCTAGATGCAGTAGTTGCTTACATGTGCTCTCACACTGTATGTGCTGACAGCAATCGTATCTTCTCAGACCACAGTTTTTTGTCCTCTATAAAATCTCCATTCTGTCACCTCGCTATCCCTTTTCTTTGTAATCTTAACGTTTTGAACGTTGAGCATGCTTGATAAGTTTGAATATATCATTCCAGGTGAGAGTTTCCCTCTTTCTGCTGGAGACAACTCTGTCCCTTCATCTGGATCGTATTGTAACTGTTCCTGGTAGAACCATACTCTTTTTTACACTATTAAATTTCATAGTTTCCATTCTTTTTAGTTGCCTGTTTCTTCCAACACCCCTAGCTTCCTAGAAGACCTTTGCTTTCTAAGTCATTGCTGAAGACACTCTGCGAAATTGGTCTTGAGGTGGATTCTTCAGAGTCCTGGAGACGTAACCTTCATCCAGGCTGGTATTTTACTTTCAGTCCTGTTATGTCCATAGCAAGTTGTAGTGGATTCCTCAGGTATCTTGACATCTTCTACTAGATACCCGAGCCTCCTAGTTATTTTCTGCGTGCTTCTACATCAGATGTTTTCATGGAATGTAGGTTGACTAGGCTGAACAAACTAGATCTTCTGAATTTTTGTAGAAAACTGTTAACTCTTTATGCCAAACTAATATTTTACTGATACTTGTTTCAAATCACTTTTTATTTGTCTCCATTTTCATACCTTTTACTTTCATGCCTTTTGTTAATGTTTCTTGCCAATTTTGTTGGTCTGGGTAGTGTGAGGTTGTGTAGCCTGTGAGGTTGTCAGAATCTCCTCTTGTTATTTCTTTTATCTTAACATTTTGAATTGATAGTCTTCAGTCCTATGGTAGTGTTCCTTGTTTGGTAGATGCCGTGTAGAAGCCATACTCACGTGATTTCAGAATAAATTTCTAGAAGTGCTTATCTAGAACATCTGCTGCTCGCTGTGCAAGCTTATAGCATTAATACCAGTTAGAAATAGATGCCTTTTAGGGAAACCTAAAATTAACTCCAAAACACTTCTTAAAAGCCTGAGTGAAGATAAAACATCTAACAAAACGTTGTTTGCAAAAGACATAGTTGATCAGATTTTAAGTGGTCCTGGAAATTGCTTTAAGACAACTGACCTGATACAGCGTGTATTGTCTGGAGGAAAAGCTGGGAGAGGTGAACCTGCCAGCGCTGAGCTACTGGGGCGTAATCTAAAGTTTGGTTCTATTTTGGGCGTTAAACTGTCTTTAGTAGATAAACAACACAAGCTTAAATGAGGTGACTACACCGAGAGAGAAGTTGCTTTGCATTTAATACAAACGTTTTAGTGAGAAAGAGGAAGTGTTATTATCTCTAGTTAATAAAC